TATAGAATTTAATAAGAATTATAAAATTTATTCGTCACCAGTTAATTAAAGGAATTCTTTTATATTTTTCCTATTTATAACAGATGTCCCATATGCACTTAGCGTTACGCCTTCGCTAACAATTAAATAATTTAAAACCTATTAGTTTAATAAACAACGACTAAATAAAAGTAAATAAATAAATAAATAACGCTCTGTTAAAAAAAAAGAAAAAAATATTGTGTAAATAAAGTCTATTACATGTAATCAAATTTAAAAAAAAAAAACACTTTCTCATTGTTAAGGAATGAATACAGAAAGGAAAATATATACATAAAATTTAGTTAAAATTATATATAAATATTCTCCAATTAAATCAAATTAAATTTATTTAAAAAAAAAATACAATTATTATTATATTTTAAACACATAATCATGTGTTTAAAACAAAAGAGATAATAGAGGAAATTTTTCTAAATATAAATTCAGCAGAGGGCGCTTTACACCGTCCAAGCTGTTTCAGTTGTCTGGGAAACCGTTGATCGCCGATAGTTTCTGCAACGATTATCCAACTCTGCAAATGAAACCAGAAATTTACCGGTTAATAGTATAACATTAATCATAAATAGTAGTAAATTATAAATTAGAGATAGTATCGGTTATTTTAAAAAAACCAAAATGACGGAATATAAATTAGTCGTCGTCGGAGGTAAGTAATAAGTCTTAGGCCTAATAATAATAATAATAATAATAATAATTGTAGTGTTTTTATATATTATATATCTATATAATATACAATAATATCAAACGTGTTTCGTCTTATTTGCTTTATATACAAGTTAATGTCTGCCATGCCGGGATTTATGAATACTTCCATGTGCTGTCTTTTACATATTTAAACGTTGATGTATGAGAGATTAAATATATTTGCATATTTTGTTAAATTCTTATTGTTTTATTCACTAAATATAAAACATTTTGTATAATAATCAATTTCCTTTAAACACGTGTTCCCTTTTCTTTTTTTTTTCAATCAATTTCATGTAATAATAATAATCAATTTCATATACATGCTGTCCCTTTCATTTATACACTTTCACTTGAGGAATGCTGGATTTATTTTTTTAATGTTTGAGATTATTATTATTATTATTTATTTTTTTTTCCAATAAGAAAAATTGAATACGTGATTCAAACAGAGATGTTAAAGCCATCAAAATCGAAGCCGTACAAATTTTTGAATCGTGATTTATGAGACGACTGAACTTTTCATAATCGAACTTGGGTGATCAGTTAAAGGGCACCTTCAAAAGCTTGTTTGGTATTTTAAAATAATCATTTTTTTTTATTTTTTTTTGTAAGAAATGAAGTGTTTACTTATAAACGTTATTCTTATTTATAAATGTAATTATCTGTAATAAATTTTTGTTTATATTATTTACTGTTTAAATTGCAAGTTTTACTTTGAAAGAATGTGCACTTTATAAATTATCTACATCTTTAAATTTATTTGGTTTTATAACATATTCTATTGTTATAATCAAAATATATTGCTGTTCTTTTCATTAATTAATTAATTTATGTAGATAATTTCTTAGAAATTTACTGTTAAATAAATTGGTGCTATAATTAGATTTAACTTCATTTATCAAAGTTTGAGTGTTTCTTAATAAAATAAATAAATTTGATTGTTTTTAAAGTGACTTTTTTTTCTTTCTTTTCTTTCTAAAAATGTGTTAACTATAATAAAATTTATGTTTAAAAAAGTTAAAATTATAGGATTTATATTTACTAAGCAAATTTAAAACTTAGTTAAATGTCAAAAAAATGGAGTCTAAAATTTAGGATTAAATTGAAAATAGAAACTATAATAATCTGGTAATTTAAACATTATAATATTTGTTGAAAGTATTCGAGCAAAGAAAGTTTAAATATTGATTCAAATTGTTATTTTAGAAGTAATTTTTCCACCTTATTATTCTCTATTTATAGATTTAATGAACTTAGATTAACTACTATTATATTTTAATACTGGTGTAATTTTAACACTTAAACTATTATCCCTTGTTATAATGAAGATATAATTTATGTTAAATTATACCGATTACCTAAAAATTTTGAAATTCTAAAATTTTTTCTATTATTTTGAAAAATTAGCTAAATAAAGATGATTTTATATTTGAAATGATAGACAATATTTTATCTCCTACACTTGTATTCTTTAAAAAAAAAAAACTGCTTGATTTTAATTTAGTTAATAACCCATGTTTAGGATATTGTTTTTAATATTGAAAAATAATAAGTAGATATAAAATATTTTTTGATATATGTTTAATTTCATTCAAAGTAATGGTATTGCTTTTGTAAGTAAACAAAAATACATATTTTAAAAATTTTGAGTTATTTTGCATAACATTCATGATTCAGTTATTTTTAATATCAAATTTCTTTTTTTAATAGAAATAAATAGTTCAATCAAAGCTCATTATCTTACTTATGAATATTAGAAAGTTATTCATATTGTTTTCATAAGAAGAGGGAAATAAACAAAGAATAAAATCGATTGAATGATTTGAAAATATTTTCTCAAATATTTGCTTTTAGTTCCTTTTTATCCTTTATGGTTATATTAAACATTATAAGAATGCTTGTAATTTATATATATATACACACGCATAAGATGTATAAAAGTTATTATATTATTTTTCCGTATCTCTTGGAATGCTATAAAAATTTCGGGATGCTACTATTACTATCAGTCTGCCAATTTCGTTTTTGTGGACTAGTGGCATTACTGAAGTGACGTCACATTACTATGGGGAGACGAATTGGGTCGATGACCACGGAACTTTTTTTCCTCTGACGTCATTTCCTGCTAGGGTAAGCAGCGAGATCCAAGATTTTTCCCACAACGGCTTCTTCCTTCGCTCTTTTATGTCGCAGAACACCTGGGAATAAGCAAATCCCTAGACTTTATTTGAATGCGATCTTCTGTAAAATTATAAGGAAATAATCCCTGTTGGATTGTACATTATCAGTATTAAGTTGTATTGTAATGCTTAAAATTGACATACAGAGATCTCATCTCCGTTGTTGCTCGAGATGTTTGGTCACAGCGGAAGTCCTCCTTTCCCACGCCTGATTCGATGAGAGGCCGTTGAACGCCCGGATCCCAAGGTCATCATTGGTGTTCGAAACTCCATTCTATGAAATTAAGGAAAAAAAAAAATGATGAATGTAGTATGTAGCTTTTTACTTGAAGAAGAATTATATGCCGTTTTAAATGAAGATAAAGTTGTTGTCAACAAGCTTTTTATATAGCTTGAGAGGAAATGACGTCTGTAATACACACTATCGTCATGGCATTCTCTTATTAATATATTAAAAAAAAATGTATTTTCTAGCAAAGATTAAATTAAATCTAGACATTGTGTAAAAATAAGTTATTAATAAAAATATTAAAATGTTTAAATAATAATAATAAATTTTATCATCAAAATTGAAAAATAATTTTAGTTTTATGAATTTTTCATAAGAATGTTGTTAAATTAAAATTGTATATTTCGTAATAGATTATCGATGTCATTGGTGACGTCACAAGAAATATGATTATGTCGTTTGACATCATTTATGACGTCAAATTTATCCGTGTTTTTACCTCATATATCGAAAAATGTTGCATAGATGTATTTTTTTAACGTTAATAAACCGATTATGTCCAAGAAGAATATTATATTTTTTTCATAATTATCATTAAAAACATAAAAAAAATAACTTCAACTTATTTTATTACCTTTTTTTATATAAGAAAAATATGCTTTTGTTTATTTAAAAATTGAATTATTGTCTAATAAAAAATTTTAAAATGTGAACATTAATATTTAAATTGATATAAAAGTAATTTTATATTATGGCATTTAATTAGTTTTTATTAGTTTGAAATGAAATTTTGCGTATTTTATAATTTAAAAGTAGAATATAAAATTTCTAAAGGACAAATAATAAATACTAATTAAATATTTTAAATGGTTTAGTTTATATTAGATAAAATAGGCTAGAAATTTAAATATGTAAATGTATTTGAATTTGAATGATCCATGTATATTTATGTATGAAACATATTAAAAAATTAAATACAACTAATCATATACAATACTTTAAATATAGTTGTCTTCAGCTGAAACTAGCACAAACCAGATGAAAGCTTGTTAGTTTCACTTGAAAGATAGTATCTGCAATAAAATAGTTTTAATGACATTGAATTATTATCTTTTATTCTACAGGATACTTTCAAACAACATTTCAAATGAATTATTGTTTTAATTTAAATATTAAATTTTCATTTGATAAACTATAAAAAAAAATTAGCATTGAAATAACTATTGAAATATAAGCTAATGTTAAAAAGTGTGTGCACTTCACTTTTATATATATTATATAAAATATTCAAGAACAATTGTTTGTTTTATGTATTATTGTTACTTACTGTAAATATTTTGATACTGTTACTTTAAAACTTATTATCTGTATAGTTATAATAAATTAGGTTTTATCGAAATTTGTTTTTATACCAAGGAATAATTTAGAATAGCATCTTTTCCAACAAACTATAATTTTTTTTTTCATTGTATATTTTTCCTTCCATCAATAATAACTGAATACAATAATTTGTTGTATATATATATAATCAAGGAGATAAATAAAGGCACTCAACAAGTATTAACAATTTTGTACGTTAGTATCATGACTGAATTATTGGCTTGTATGTGTTAAATGTGGTGCGAAGAGAAGATAATCTTGCCAAATCTTTACTTCAATATTTACAGAAAGTGTTACACAAGGTTTCTTTCCATTTCCATGTACACTTGGTATCTTAGAGTTGTGACTTCTTTCAAAAAATTCAATCTTTGTCAGATTATTTACCTCAGAAATGGTTGAGTTTTTGACTTAGGTTTACTAAAGATTTTATATTCTGTCTGGTGTGTACTATATGTCATAAATGCTGAATGCTTTTTTTAACGTCTTGTATATAAAATACTATGTATAGGCTATATATATAAATTACTATTGTATATAAATACTATAAAGTACTTAAAAATACTGGAGTCAAATCTAAACAAAAAATCTGTCAGTACTACATCATATACTATTGCTTTCGAGACTGAATTTTGTGTTTATGTAAGTGGCATATATACATATTAATTATGTTATGCCTACAGGACCTGTTATAGGTATTCTTTCATATCCAAATAGGACAGTATTTTGTCATTGGTTGTGTTGTGTGAGAAAATCATCACAAGTCATAAGAATTATGACATCATTGGAAAAAGAAAAGATGTGGAATGGATTACAAAAAGCATACATGATTTAATAGATTCTGACTTAATGATGATTGAAAGGTGTACAAATAAGGAAATATTTGGGTGTGTTTTTAAACTTCTTAGAGTATATTTATTCTTTTAAAAAAATATTTAAAACTGAACTTGATTCACTGTTTTATTAAAATAACAAAATTTACATCACATAAGGCATTTTAAAAAAGTCAGACTTGTTTTATTCACTAACGCTTATTTTCATACAAGAACATTAAAATAATAATGAAACTATATTGAAAATTTGATTCCTTTTACTTCTTGTTTCTGATGTGCAAATTTTTTGTCCTAACTGATCATTTATCATCGTTACAACATCCAAAATGCTGACTAGCAA